TCCCCCATCCTGACAAGTGCAGCTGTGCTCAAGCCTGGACACCGTGTCAATGCATCTTGTGCAGGTTCTTCCCCTTTTCATGGACCCTCTACCAAGCACGGTGTCTTCTTCCAGGGCTGGCTCCTCCTGGCTCCACGCAATGAATGTGAGACGAAGCCTCCCCATCCTCCCTCCTAAGCCTGCTGGCTGCACCCCTTCCAAAACAGATCTGTTTGTTCTTTTCACTTCCCATGATGCACTTCCTAGTCTTTGCCAATATTACAATTTTTTTCTTCCATCTTTCTTATTCAATGTCCAACTTCCCCATGCATATGAAGCAATTGAAAATACTATGGCTTCTGGCAGACGCCCCTTGATTTGCAAAGTGACATCCCTGATCTTTAGCAGTTAAAGTTAAGTTCTTTATAGCAGAGGTGCCCAACGAAATCCGCCTTTCGATTTCTTAAGTGCTGCTTCCATGGGCATTGATTGTAACTCCAAGGAAAATGAAATCCTTCCTCATCTGAAGCATGGCGATAACCAGACCATCTACTTTATTACATAAACGAACTCTCTCTTTAAATAAAAGGGGCTCTTGTTGTGGAGTGTTATATACTGAAAGACCAGCAGTTTGAGCCCTCCAGCTGCTCTGAGGACTGTTCTTCCTCCCTTAAGGAATTACAGCCTCAGAATCCCACTAGAGGGTCACTGTGAGCCAGAACCAGCTTGATGGTAGGAGGTGTTTGTTATGCAAGGAGACATGCGTCCAGTATTTGGCACACAGGAAATCTAAGATGATGATGGTCATTGTGATTAAACCATGTCAGCACTTGATTTATGCTCTCACTCAAATCTTAGCGACTCAGTGAATCATCACCTCCACATCACTCAAAAAGCCAGACTTGGAGAAGAATGTGGCATGAGGATCGGAGAAGACTCACCGGCAACCTGCATTATGTATGCACATAAAAGTGAGGAGGACTAGAAATGCTTGCTACAGAAGATCAAAGATTACATCCTTCAATATGGATTACATTTCAACATCAAGAAAACCAACATCTTCACCATTAGGCCAACAGGTAACATCATAATAGATGGAGAAAAGATTAATGTTGTCATCTTGCTTGGCTCCACAATCAACTCTGGGTACCAGCAGCCAAGAAATCAAAAGACACTTCAACGATTTAGATCCTCCCAGAACAGCTGTGGGTGAGCATTAACATTACTGGTAAGTATATTCATTTTCTCCTGAACACAGAGCCTACTAATTGGTCCTAAAAGCCTTCTGGGGTCCCAACTCTTCTCACTATTTCTTAGTTGTTGGAATGGACGGAAAACCTCATAAGCAGTTCCTTACTTCACCTCTCCCTTGCATGCGAACTTCCGAGTTGTAAAACAACCCAGTGGTAGATGGAATTTGCTCCAGGACTTAAGAACCATAAATGACATAGCTGAGCCTCTACATCTTGTGGCTCCTAACCTCTACACTATAATAGACAAAGTGCTAGTCTATAGGCCTTTTATTGTAAGAACCACCTTCCCTCTATAACTTGATTTGTGCCACGATTAGAACCTCTACTCGGAATATTACTGTTTTTTTAATTTTTGACTCATGGACTTTTAACTTGTTAGTTAAATTTGTGTCTTCTAGGCTGCAACACTTCCATGATACATCTTCAAGGATATGAACATGTACGGCCAAGCACAATTGATAACAGTGCATCTAAATTCCAAAATCAATCTCCATAATAGTCTATGTGTTTCCTACTGCCAAAGGGGCCCTTTAGAGTAGTGAGAGAAGATCTTCACCCTGAAACCCACAGCATCCCTTTTCAGCAGGAAGTAGCTAAGAGAATAAGCCATCTCCTTTTCCTTATGAATCAGGGTGAAGTCTCTCTCAGGGAGGAGTGATAGGGAATGGCAAGGGACACACTGACAAAGGAGATTAATCAGAACTGGCTTTGACAAGCACTGTGGCAATTGGACAATTAAAACAGACATTCGTGGGGGCGGGGGGGGGGAGAAGAATGAACTGGGGAGGAGGGTAGAGAAAACAGTGCAACAATGAATGAATAAAAACCTAAAATCTCTGTAAATGTTCATTAAAACTAATAAAATTTAATAATAATTTAAAAAAAAAAGAAATAAAAAGATGGGTTGCATTGGGAAAATCTGCTATCAAGGGCCTCTCCAAAGGGCTAAGGAGCAATGGGTTGGTTTAGAGACTCAGCTGCATCTAATTCAAGCCATGGTCTTTTCAGTTACTTCCTCTGCATCTGAGAGCTAGACAATAAATAAGGATGACAGAAGAAGAATGGACATCTTTGAGTTGTGGTGTTGGAGAAGAGTGCTGAATAGTCTATGGGCTGCCAAAGAGGTACAGATATGTCTTGGAGAAGATGCAGCCAGAGCACTCCTTGGAGGCAAGGATGACAAAGCTTTGTTTCACATACTCTAGGCACGTTGTTAGGAGAGGCTGCTCCTTGGAAAGGGACATCAAGCTTGGGAAGGTGGAGGGTCAGGGAAAAAGACGACCATCAAACAATGACTGTAACAATGTTGTTATTAGGTGCCGTCAAATCAAGTGCAATTCATAACAACCCTATGAACAATAGATCTGAACTCTGTCCATCTCCACGCTTCCTGATACACTTAGTGCCTATGCAGGAGCCACTGTGTCGGTCCACCTGGCTGAAGGTCTTCCTCCTCTCCACTGACTAGCCGCCTTTCCAAGCATCATGTCCCTCATGAAGGTGAGGACTGTGAAGAATAGGGCAACGTTCAGATCTCCTGTCCGTAGGGCTGAAATGAGTCAGCAACAACAGTATTCAAAGATGATGAAGCTCAGTCAGAAGTTACGTGACTTCTGAGGAAGTCAGGCTGGGGTTAGAATTCAGTTATGTCTGTGTCCCAAACCAGTGGGTGGGGAAGCTCACGGCACCCGGGGCCTCACAGATAGGTCATTGAGTCCGGATTTCAGTTCACGAGATGCGGGCCCTCCCTGTATGTGGACAGGACCTGCTGCCATGCCTCCCAGAATCTTACTGAAGCCAGTCAGAAGAGTGGGGCCCAAGACCACTCACCAAGAATGGCGGCCCCTCCAGAGCAGCCAGGGCCCCTGCTATCAAACACCGTCCCCACAAGGCAATAAGGACAGTGTGACATTTCTACAACTGTTCCACTGCCATCAAACGCCAAATAAGTCCTTCCTGCTGCTTGCTTTAATAAAATGGAGACGTCTTCTTATGCGTGCAAAATCTCCCTCAGAGCCTTAGAAATGTCACTGGAATGAAAGCATGCTTGATCCACCAGACAACTTATGCCCAGGGCAGTACCAGCGGGCACAATCCAGGACTGGTCTCCAAAGCACGAAAGTCTAAGTGACCACAAGGGGCTGCTGGACACAGGGTGTATGTGGAGGGAAGCTTGTGTTCGTGTACCCAGGCTGGGCCAGGCATTTGTTACTTTATAAAAACAAAAGAGGCAGTCATGAACTTGAAGGACACAGGCCTTCAGCCTTAGTGACCATGGTGGGCACAGGACAGCTTTCCTATCTACACCCTTCAAAGACCCACCTACCCTCAAACTCTCGCAAGGGTCAGTACTAACCCTGTCATGGTCCTCAGGTTGTCTCCTCAGGCCTAGCCCTCACTCCCCCAGAACACACCTCACTCCACACACCCCAAATTCCTCATAACACCCCACCCAATCTTCCCCATCGCAGCGATGGCACTGCCCAGCACTTCATGACAAAATCCAGCCACCTTCAACTTCACTCAGCCGTCACGAGCTCCCCACCAGAGCCTGCCTTCCTCTGCTCCTCGGCCCCAGCAGTAATCTTCTCACTGGCTACCCTTGTTCCTCTACAATAATGGATCCCCAGTCTGAAGTCAAAATGTCTTTTAAATATACAATCCATTCCTACTAGTCTCCTGCCTCAAAGGTTTCCTTTGTTTCTCATTCTCTCAAGTCCAAGTCAAAAGTGTTCAGCCCACGCCCATCTCTCTGTCCTGAGCCTCCACACTGCCAGTCCCTGCCGTCCACACAGTGTCGCCTCCTCTGTCTTATCTCCAGCCTCTGAGAGAACTCTGATCCCTTGGCCTGAGGTACTCTCTCCTCCCTCACTTTCCTCAACGATCCCAGCCAAGTCCTATTCACCCTTTGGGTTGTGGCATCCCTAACTGCAGACACTGAACGAGCCCGATCCCCAAATCACACAGAAAATGTGGCCGTAAAGAATTAAGATCTTGTGTGAAAAGTCTACCCATCTCTCAGTTCAGCAATGATTTGGCAAAGGCCCTGACATCTTCTAAGTGCACTCACTCAACCCAGGGGGGAGAAACGGTCTAACATCATCAAAGAGCTTACTGATGCTTAGGAAGGAAAGGGGCGGCGCATCAGAGCTGGGAGCTGTCAGGAGTCTGAAATGACTCCCAGGGCGTACAGGATTTTGTTTGAGTGGCCAAAGAGAAACCAGTAAGGCTGCAGATGGGCTGCCTGCATCACAGAGGGAAGGAAGCTGGAAACAAAAGCAGCAGAGAGCAGGACGTCAAGACACATGCATAAGACAGGAAGAAACTGCTGGCTGAAAGGCCGACAGTTCAAAGCCACCCAGAGGCACCTAAGACCACAGGTCTGATGATGATTCTGAGAGGCCACACAGCAGTTCCATTCTGTGAGGTTGTCACAAGTCTACTGACAACCCGTAAGAAGGGATCATGTGCGATGTTTATATTTACTCTTTTCTTTATTTACTGGGCTAACTTAGCTTGGCTTACTTACGGTAGGAACTTTTAAAAGATTGAAAACAAAAGAGAAGCTAAGAATACATGTAGTGATTCATTCCTTTTCTAAATAATTTATCCATTTACAAACAAATAAAAGCAATGCCGAAGGGGTGGAGAGGTGAGGCTGTGTGGACCAGCTTGTCTGAGGGTCCTCTGAGACTTGTAGGAGGGAACAGCAGGGTCTCCCACCTCCCTGAGCACCCTGAACAGCCAAAGGGCCACCGCCGGACTCACCACTCCACGATCTCTGGGTGAAGAATGGTGTTGTTGACTTTGAATCTGAAAAAGGAAATAAAGCAAGTTCATTAGTTCAACAGTCTAGAATCTCCCGCAAGAAGTAACACATTCAAGTCATACACACCATGACTGAGAGAGGACAGCAAACCAGCGCACGGCTCAGGCCTGCGGATCACCCTCTGATGCACAGCCCGGGCCTTGGCTGCATCAGCTGGGGTGCAAGAGCTTACCAATAAACTCCCCCCTCCCCCCATGACCAGGAGGCTGGAACAGCCTCCTCTGCCCCTAGAGAGACAGAGAAAGGCCATGGCTCCAACAATTTGAGAAGAGCATTAAGAAGGGAAGATGACATTACTGATGTTCCGGTTTCTGAATACGTTGAAAGGAAGACGTTTGAAGTTGAGCCTGCGAGCATCCCAGCCATGAAGAAGTAAAGGGCAGGGGAAAGGGGCACATTTTAGCATCCTATTATAGTGCCAATCCAAAGGGGACGGGAATCCATCAACGGCTCCACAAGAGAAGGACTGTTCTGGTCGTTAGTGGCAATGAGATGGAGTTCAAATCCACCAGCGGCTCCGAGAGAGAAAGGAGCAGTTCCTTCCTGTGGGATTTACGGCGTCTGAAAACCCGCTGGAGGGTCTGACTCGATGGTGCACAACACCAGCTGGTAGTAGTAGTGTTTCCAGTGTGAGAACCTCAGACAAAGGCCTGAGCCCAGTCACACATGAGCTCCCTCTGCCTGACAATGGTGGCACAGGGTGAGGTGTCACCCAACGAGGGAAAAGGAGCGTGTGAAACCCATGGCCCAGCCAGAAACCTGCACGTATTTGCTAATGCATTCAAGAGCCCCCAGGACTGTCTGCGGGGTTGTCTGAGACAGGGTGGGTGGGAGCAGCAGGTTCTCTCTCTCCCTCCTTCCTGAACACAACCAAGAGCCAATGGGGCTGAGGCCACATCACCAGTACAGTCTTGGTTGAAAAAGTAAAAACCTACAGCACTAAATTATTAAGAGAAAAACTGAAACTTGTCCTATCATAAACTGAAAAGTGAAACACTCTTTTACAAACACCCAAGAGCTTTTTCAGATAACAGACAGCATCAAACTGGGACCCCTGAGGAAAACAAACAAGGTGGGGTCTGCTTTCATCCTGACTTCCTGCCTAGAAACACTAAGGACGTTGACACAGAGCACAGGGGGACACTGGGGTGAGGAGGCTGAGGCACCTCACAGAGAGAGTGTGCCAGAGAGGTCCGGAGGAGCCCTTGACTCTAGCAAATGCCAAGGCGCAGACAGGTTTACTATGTGAACTTCCTCAGCAAGGGGAATTGCTGGAAGCAGCAAGTTAGAAGGTTCCTGGTGTTCACACAGGGGTGGGAGACTCCCGGTCTCAGCTCTTCCCCCTTAACGCTCACTCTCCACAGGAGAGCTGGAGTCCTTGTCATTGACAGGACAGGACCAGTGACCTGTCGGCTTGGGTGGGGATCTGCAGCGCCTGTGGATAAACACTTACTTTCCACCTTACCTCTGACAACAGATAGTCTCAACTTTCACTTGTATTTATTAGTCTTCATATTGGAAGACATCGATTTCCACATTGATTTTTTTTAGGGGGGAGGGGGGAGACCAAACGTGGCTTTCAGTACAGTCATGCACTGCTTACATCCTCAATACATATTGTGAAACAGGACATTCTGTGATTTGGACATTGGGTCAGCAGCAGCACAGTTGCTGCCTTGAGATGCTCCTGCCTTTTCTTGGAGCATCTCAAACAAGTTTCTTGCCTTAGCAGGGCCCATCGCACACCGAGAGGGATTTGCTTCTGTGTCATGCCCTCGATCCACATCGTTAGCGGTTTCTTGATGTCTGATATAGGTCCTTCTCACATTTTCTTCAGCCCTGATGCTCTCAGTCGGGCGGACCCTTGAACAGCTCAGAGAGTTTTCTTGGGTTTAAGGATCATTATGATTGTTAAGTGCTGAAATCCTGAGCAACAGCAGTCATTGGTTTTTCACTCTTTCTGTTAATAACCCCAAGGCTTGACTATTGTGCCAACAATCTCATTAAAAGTTACCCCTGTCGCCTTTAATGTCACAAGGCCCTCTTACTTTACCAGATACAATGATCTTAAATGAGCGGGTCCTTCCTTGCAGTACATCCAAGGCAAACACCCCCACTTCTAAGAGGCATTTCACTTGTGTTCCTTGTAGGACAAATCTGTTCTTCTGTTGGCCCAGAAGTTCAGTGTTCTTTGCTAACATCACAATTCAAAAGGATACATTCTTCTGTCTTCCTTTTCACTGTCTAGCTTTCTCATGCACAGGAAGCAATCAGAAGACTGTGGCTTGTTCCAGGGGCACTTCAGCCATCAAAATTAGATCTCTGCTTTTCAAAACCATAAAGAAATCTTTTGGAACAACTTGCCCAATGCAACAGGTCATCTGACTTCTTGACCATTACTTGCATGCCTGACTGTTCCTGGGAGGCAAGGATGACAAAGCTTCATCTCACATACTCTTGGGCACATCGCTAGGGGAGTTATTCCTTCGAAGGAGGCATCAGGCTTGGAAAGGTGGAGAGGAGGACCTCAGTCAGATGGATGGCACAGTAACTGCAGCGATGATGGGCTCCAGTGTTTCAGACATTATGAGGATGGCACAGGACAGGACAGGGTTCAGTTATGAGTTGTATTCAACTTGATCTCATCTAACAACTTCCATGCATGATGCCTGATCCAAGGAGAATTAAAACCTTGCCAACTTCAATTCCTTCACCATTTATCATGATACCAGTTGGAAGAGTTTTCATTTTCTTATATTCAGATGTAATCCATGCTGTAATATGGTAGGAGAGGTATTGATGGAAAATCTCACTAACTCTGGTGGAAGGTGGAATAAAGAACCAAGATCAGCCGTAAGATGATCCCTGTCAAGAGGTCAAGCCGACCTCACTCTCCAGCTCTTTCATTAATTTATTCAGCTGTCCCTTCTCTATTTCTCTTATGAGTTTGAGAATTTGTTGCAAAATAAGATACTCTGTGGCTAAACAGAACTCATAGAGTTCTGGTTACCTAAACAAAATTCACTGCTGTCAAGTCCATTCTAACTCAGCAACCAAGTCTGTTATCCTCATGGGTAGAGAGACTGCTACATTGTCTGTGGAACAGACGATGCATTTGAACCACTAATCCTTCAGTGAGGAGTCAAGAGTTAAACCGGGGCTTATTCAGTAGCTCACTAAGGAAGTAAGAAGGTCTAACTTGGGCTCAGGACCAACAAGCCTCAGTTCAGGATCGGGAAGCACACAGGTAAAGCTTCCCTCCTCTAGCGCTATAAAACTCTCTCGGCTCCTCTCTGGGTACAGGGCTCCTACCTCGGGCTCCTCTGGATAGACCCATCTTTAGTGCATCTGCTTTCACTGACTCTGCTGCAGGGCTCTTTCGGAGGCTGCACCGACCTCTGCCACTGAGCCCCTTCTGCATTCAGTGCTGCAACTCGGTCCACGTTACAACTCTTTTAGGAGGTTCCTTGCCTACTCTCTCTCTGCTTATTCTCTTTCTTCCACTTCTCTTCTTTCCACTTCTTCCTGTCTCTGATTCCTCTTGTGAGGCTGCCTGCTTGTATCTACAACTCTTTTGTTAACTTTAACGTCCTCCACCAGTGACATAAACTGACCAACCTTTTCTTGTAGTTTTTAAGGGCCACTGAGTGGGTTCACATAGTGACCCCATGAACAACAGACCTGAATCCTGTGCTATCCTGGGCCATTCTCAGCCTCTCTGACATAACTGAGCCCACTGCTGCAGTCATCGTGTCTATGCAGTTCACTGAAGGTCTTATGTGATTCTCCACATTTCCAGGTATCAATCATGTCCCTTCCCAAGGAATAGCTTCTCTGAGCAGCATGCCCAAAGTATGAGATACTGTTTTGCTATCTTTGCCTCCAAGGAGTAATCTGGCTGCACCTTCTCCAAGACTTCGTTTGCATAGGAGGCTACTGCTACTTCATTTACATAATCTATTGATCAATCCCTAAATGGTGCATGCCTATCACAGGACAAGCTACAGTTCAGGGTCAGGCAAAAAAGTATCAAACTTAACAGGGCAAAGAACTAGGGGAGAAATCCCTCAAGATGTTTTGTCCAAAACATCAAGATAAAACCATGTAAAAGAACTCATTTCATTATAATACTGATGGGTATGATCTTTTACTTTCATCAGTACAATCTTCAGTTCATATTCATTTTTGGCACATAAGGTTTGTCATTTGCATATTTCATGCTATTGATGAGTATTCCCCCAATCTTTATGTACATAGATTTTCCATATAATCCAGCATTTGGGGCTATTTGTTCACATATTGCTTGACGGCTATTGTTGCAGTTAAGTGCTACTGATAGCTTAGAACCAACTCATAGCTGGCCCTCAAGCAGGTCTTCGGGGGCTGTAAATCACATGCGAAGAGTTGTGCCCCTCCTTCTCCACGGAGCAGCTGGTGGATTTAAGCCACCTGCCTTCGGGGTGGCAATGGTGAGATGAAAGGACAGAGCCTTGCCTCAAGCCTTTTCCAATTTTGAACCACACAGGACAGCTGTGTTCTGTACAAGCACCTGCCTCTTGATCTATGTGCAGGTTCAACAGGAGCACAATAAAGTTGAGAGTCCCCATGCTTCATAATATTATCCAGAATGTGTTATGTTAGCTGAATGTCTTTTCTATCATGGACATCTTTTATCACGGGAGAATTATTCACATTAAGAAGCGATCAATGTAATTCACTAAGCAGAAAAAGGGAAAATTATGATTCCTTCAATGTTGCTGATTCTCTCAACGTGTCATATGCTGCTCAGTTGGAACTGACTCATGACTGACCCTCCAGCACGTTTTCAGAGGTTTTCAATTCCACTAGGGGAGACTATCTTTCTCTTTCAGAGAAAATGGTCCATTTTAACCACCTCCAGCACAGCTCCTCGCCAGTAGCCACCAGAGCTAAATATCCTCTTGATAGATTAATAAAAATATCTGACAAATATTAACAATACTCA